GTTGTTTATATTCCACTTTTTTTCCAAATTAGAACTCAAAGCGGATCACAATTTAACAATAGCACTTTACATTTCTATACCACTTTATAGTGAACTGAGCATTCTCTAATCGGTTTACAATCTGTAAGTCAATTGCCCCCAACAAGCTGGGTACCCATTTTATCAACCTACGAAAGAATGGAGTCAACCTGGAGCCCTCTGGGATTGCACTAACAATGTTGTGGCTCCTGATTTTTAAAAAACACAGTTAAAACATCCAAAAGTGAGCATTAAAATAGAATTAAAGTGATACAGTTTTCAAATATATTATTTATTAAAATGAATAATTTTTTTTTAATCCCTGTGATCGGTTCACCTTGGCATTGTCATAAGTCAGAAATGTCTTGAAGGCACCTAACAACAACAAGGCATCACTGGCTGTTCAACCCCATGGACAGCGGTCTTCTCCTTCCATAGCTTGAGTTACATTTTCAAAGAACTTCCTGCACACTTTTGATATGGCAGGTTTGGATAATGGCCTTTAGTTTGGATCTGTCCCACCCAACACATCTGACAGTAAGGAATTGTAGAAGCCATAATCCCGAATGCTTGCAGTTGCAGAGACAAACATTTCACACCTCTCTATAAGGTACTGTCTTTCCCGTGGCAAAATGGAAATTGCAACTCTAGAAGCTGCTGCCAGATAATTTGGTATAAAAACAAGCGGTGGTTTCTAAAGCCTTTCTGAAGTGCTCCCAACTCCACACATTAAGATTTCCAGATCTCAGTCTTCAGGGCAAGAAGGAAGAATCTCAGGGTAGGAGCACTGCCTTGAAAAGTGTGTATGTATGTCTCTCTGTACATTTTCTCATTTTTTAGATTTGGAATGAGATCTGGATTAGGAGACACACAACAGCAGTCATCCAGTTGTTGTTCTTAAAAACAGAAAGTTGCTATTATATTTTCCTCCTCTGCCACTCCCCATCCCTGGAGGAAAAAACACCAAACATTAAATTTTATAAACCAGAAGTGACTGCAATGCCACTTTCATTCAGATTAAGCAAAATAACCAGGTGTAGCCCACAGGGATTGTAGTGGGTGGCAATGGGGTTGATCTATCTCCCAAGCCCATCTCATTTGTCCACCTTGATGTCGAAAACTATTCAAACGGCCAAAGTGGAACTAGAAGCAAGAAGAATTTATCTTTATTTATCTATTTAATCCATATCCTGCTTTTCTCCTTCTAAGACAACAAAGAATAAGTTGCTTTATTTATGTAACATATCTTCCTCCTAGGGCAATTGGGGTGCACCACATCCTGGTAGGGTGCATATCATAACCACAGTGATAAAGCAAGCCAGGTTTCTGGAGGGGTCTTAGTTCATTTACAGTGAAAATCTGGAATCCTGTTGGATATATATATCTTTGTAAGTGGGAGCCAGCATGGTGTAGTGGTTTGAGCACTGGACTACAACTCTGGAGATCAGGGTTCAGTTCCCAACTTGGCCATGGAAACCCACTGGGTGACCTTGGGCAAGGCAACACTCTTTCAGTCTCAGAGGATGGCAATGGCAAATCCTCTGAAAAAAACTGCCTAGAAAACCCTGTCATAGGTTTGCCTAGGGTCACCATAAGTCAGAAACTACTTGAAGGCATACAACAACAATAACAACAACAAGAACTAGGGTTATGTATGCATGAATTAGAATTGCACCATTGTGTGATGTTCATATCCTGTAGAGGGCTGTTGTTTTGTTATTGCATAGCAGCACCAGCAAAGTATCTGTGGGTCTCATATAGAAGAAAACAATGATGGAGGTTAATATAGAGTTTCCATCCTGAGATCCAGTAAAATGAATGACTTTTCTTATTATTACGTGATACACTAACTACGGTGGACCCTTGTTGTCCGCTGGGCCTTGGTTCCAGGACAACCCATGGATACTAAAATCCATGGATACTCAAGTCCCATTAAGTACATTGGCATATTAAATGGTGTCCCTTACATTAAATGGCAAAATAAAAGTTTGCAATTTGGAATTTATACTTTGTTAGAATATTTTCAAGCTGTGGATACTTGAAGCGATCGATAAAGAATCCGTAGATGTAGAACACTGACTGTACTATACAATCACTATTTGGCTTTTTTTTTTTTTACAGCAGAGTAAGACTGTGAGTCTGAGTCCATAAGAGATCCAGCACCTGAAACAGCTCCTTTAAAATTCAAGAGTAAACCTGGACTGGCCCACTAGCAATGAAGTCACCAGTCATCACTGGCCAATTGATCAAACAAGGTCCTTGCCCTGAACCCATAATTTTCCTATTATGGCACTGGTATATTTTTCAGCAGCCTGGATTAAAGCCTGCAGTTTTCATAACATGGAACTGGTTTTGATGATATTGCCAATACTATGGGGGGGGGGG